CTTAGGGCTCAGGCTCCACATCCATAAAATGGGCTTCACGTGCAGGGAGCTGAGCGCCTTGTGTGCGTGGCTGTGGGTCCAGTGCTGCCGGCCCAGCCTTGGGGAGCCTCCGTGGGGGGGTGTGGGTGGCACAGCCCGCCTAGGAAGATGGCTCCCCAGGGAATGGGCGGCAAGCCATCGGATGATGAGGGGCTCCCAGTGTGGGAAGGGGAGGCCAGGGCCGGACCCTCAGTCGGAGGACGTGGCCAGGCAAGGGTATCTCTCCGTCCCCACCCCTGTGACAGCAGGAACGGGCTGACACAGGCTCCAAGGGAAATGGCTGTGAGGCAGCTCCTGGGGGCTGGCTTTGCCCATGTGGGGGGTCATGAGAAAACCACGTTTGTCAGCAACAGGTCAGCGCTAGAGTTGTCACGGGGGTGTGGGGACTCGACCCATCCCACGAGGCCTATGTTCTCGCTCACAGCTTCTTACTTTGGCAACTGACATTGGAGTCTGTGGAAAGTCAAAAGAGAATTTGGCTCTTTCAGTGGTGTTCAGACAGACAGACAGCACACAGGACAGGCCTGGACTGCCCTGGTGGTAACAGCTGACCACAGGCTGGCACAGGTGGGCTGAGCTACCTGAGCACTGCTGCCCACCTGGGAGGGGGGAGAAGTCTCCAGTGAGGCAGGGGCGGTGTCAGGTCACCAAGCTCACAGGGATAGGCCTGTCCCACCAGCACTGAGCATATCAGAGGGGGGTTCGTTATACCTTTGTCCTAATATGATTTACTGAGGGCACCGTGGGTCCGCGTGGCTCACTCTGAACGGCCATCCCAGAACTAAACGCCAGCCCCGCCCAGCTGTGGGGTTTTCCTCCCCTCTGTGCTGTTCTCATGTTTCCTCTGCAGCTGGACAGGCTGGAGGGTGGCGGTGATGGGGCCCTGCTCTGAAGACCCCCACCTCCGCTGGGCCTCCTGGCTCCTGGGACTGGCAGAACTGGCAGGCGTCCTCCTGGGTGAGTGGTGGGTCCCTGGGATGGGGCCCTGGGGCGGAGCAGGCAGGCAGGGTCTCCTTTTCTTGTCTGATGTCTTATTGAACAAAAAAGGAAACTCCACTTACAATTTAGCAAGTGAGCCCAGGGAGAACAGAGAAACAAACTGGCCTGTGGTGGTGACGAGGCTGGGACCCTGAGCTCGGGTGGCCTGGGCTGCACTAAGGGAACCTTTCCCAGCGAGGAGAGGCTGTGTCTGCAATAACAGGGGAGCCAGGGGGAGCCTGTGGGGAGGGATGGAGACCCAGAGCCTGGCTCCTGGGGCCGAGGGGCACAGGGCGCCCGCCTGGACCTCACAGGGGACCTGGCCGCCTCTGCAGCTGTCCTGTGGAGCTGACGCTGTCTCACACTGGGACCGGAGTCTGAGCTGCAGAAGCAACCTCGCACTCGGGGGCTCCCTGGGTGACAGGACACAGAACACGATGTAGTTCTAGTTTGTAAAGGGAACAGCAGCCTATGAAATCTCAGGGAGTCTGTAACACACACACCGTGAGAGTGTGGAGAGGCTGAGGATGAGGAGCAGGCCGCTAGCTGAGCTCCAGGACGAGGGTACGAGGGTACGGGGAGNTTCCTTATTTTGTTTATCAAGACATCAAACAAAAAAAGGAGACCCTGCCTGCCTGCTCCGCCCCAGGGCCCCCTCCCAGGGACCCGCCACTCACCCAGGAGGACGCCTGCCAGTTCTGCCAGTCCCAGGAGCCAGGAGGCCCAGCGGAGGTGGGGGTCTTCAGAGCACGGCCCCATCACGGGCCACCTACCAGCCTGTCCAGCTGCAGAGGAAACATGAGAACAGCAGAGGGAGGAGGAAAATCCCACAGCTGGGCGGGGCTGGTGTTTAGTTCTGGGAAGGCAGTTCAGAGTGAGCCACTCGGAACCACGGTGCCTCAGTAAATCATATTAGGACAAAGGTATAACGAACCCCCTCTAATATGTCCAATGCTGTGTGGGACAAGCCCTTCCCTGTGGTCAAAAGGGCTCAGTTGACCTCACACCGCCACCCCTGACCCACTAGAGACTCCTCCCCGCTCTCCGGGTGGACAGCTGTGCCCAGGCAGCCCTGCCCGCCTGTGCCAGCCTGTGGTCAGCTGTTACCACCAGGGCAGTCCAGGCCTGTCCTATGTGCTGTCTGTCTGTCTGAATAACTCAAATTCTCTTACAACTTCCCTCACACTCCAACTGTCAGTTGCCTAAGTAAGAAGCTGTGAGCGAGAACACAGACCTTGTGGGATGGGTCGAGTCCCCACACCCCCGTGACAACTCTGGCGCTGACCTGTTGCTGACAAACGTGGTTTTTTTCGTGCCCCCCCACATGGGCACAGCCAGCCCCCAGGAGCTGCCTCACAGCCATTTCCCCTGGAGCCTATGCCAGCCCCGTTCCTGCTGTCACAGGGGTGGGGACGGAGAGGTACCCATGCCTGGCCACGTCCTCCGACTGCGGGTCCGGCCCTGGCCTCCCCTCCCCACACTGGGAACCCCTCATCATCCGATGGCTTGCCGCCCATTCCCTGGGCAGCCATCTTCCTAAGCGGGCAGTGCCCCCCACACCCCCCCACGGAGGCTCCCCAAGGCTGGGCCGGCAGCACTGGACCCACAGCCACGCACACAAGGCGCTCAGCTCCCTGCACGTGAAGCCCGTTCTATGGATGTGGAGCCCAAGCCCTAAGGGACGGTAGGACGTGCAGATGGTCACATGGCTGCCACAATCAGGGTCTGGACCCCAACATCACAGCTGCTCTTCCCTCCTGCTGGTGGCCTCCAGTAAGTCCCCCGAGCCAGCATGTGTGCCCCCTAAACTGCTCTGCAGCTCCCCAGACAAGAGAGTAGTCAACACAGGCTGCACCCCCTCACACACATCCCCCTCAAAATGGGGAAATTACCCCAGAAGGCACTCCAAGAGGCCACAGTCAGAAGCGCCTGACAGTGAGTCAGGATCGGCAGCTCACCCACCTATGGACGGAAAAGGGGGCACAGAACGAACTCGACACGCTCGGGGGTGGGGGTGGGGCTCTGTGGCCCTAAAACCCAGAGACCAGAGTCACCACACAGGAGGGTCTGACTCAAAGGTGGTCGGTCCTAGGCCTGTAGCTTCCTGACAAAGGTCCGTCTTCACCTAAGTGAGTCAGTCTATGGCCTTTTGCATCTAGGACGACAGGCCTTTGCATGTCAGAGTCGTCTCCTTTTCCAGACCCTCAGGGCACGACCGCCAGCTCCAGACCACAGAGCCCCCTTGTTATCCTGGGGCCCACGTGCCACCTCCATGTGCTGTAAATGTCAATAATTAACTACCCTGCACCCACAATGTGAAAGAACCATGTGTCCCTCCCTTTCACTTTTTATCCAATCCCCGAGACCCCCCTTTGCTTCTCCTGCCCCCCTAACCTGATGCCCATGGATTCCATGTCACCCCGTTAGGTTCCTCCGTTGAGTCTAATGTATGAAATAAGCCGCGAAACTGCCATTCCCAGACCGTTTTCTTAACCCGTTGAGATTTGCTTCCCGGCAACTGTGGTCAGTGTGACTCAGATGACCTCTCATGAGACGCTTCCTGAGGCCAGGTGTTCCTCTGTCCACACACAGGCTGTCACTCAGGGTGCTGGGGGCGGGCTCAATGTCCCCGTCCCCGTGTCCCCAAGCCTCTCTTGGGAGCACTGTGTGAGAACGGTTTCGTTCAGAAAATGTTTTTTGGGGTTTGGGAGGAGGAGCTTAGAGAGAACCCCTAAGGGGAGGAGCACCCCACAAATTCCTTGCTGGCTGAAAACCAGGGACTTTCGAACTCCCAGACAGCTGGTCTCGTTTTCCACATTCCTCTGTCCTGTGAGGCTGCAGAGCTAACTCTTCCCCAACGGCCCTCACCCTGAGCTTCCCAGTTTAAGAGCTCTTAACCTGTGACAGGCGGCCGCTATCATTATGGTCACCTTCCCATTTTACAGAGCGGGGACTGGGGCTCCAGACGGGTCACCAGGTAAACCCCAAGGCCTGGGGGCCAGGGTGTGGCAGGGCCTGGACTGGAACCAGGGATCCAGCTCCCAGATCCTAGTCGCTGTCAGCTCAGCAGTGTCCCCACATGGGGTCTGAGCCTTGAGAAGCCACACTGAGGGGGAGGGCAGGCCTGTCCCAGAGCGGCCTCTCGCCTCCCTCTCACGGCCCAGGCAGAGCAACCAAGGCCTGTGTGTAGCTGCAGCTCAGCCCCGCTGAGTCCCCAAAGCCACCCTTGTCCAACCACAGCCGCCTCCCCTGTGCTCGGTGCGTCACAAATGGCCAGACCTGCAAAGGCTGGTGGCCTGACAAGCCTCAGCTGGCCTCCCAGCTGCACCGGGACCCTCCCAGTCCGAGCTGCAGGCTGGTGTCCCTGCCCTGACCCTGGGGCAGTGCACATGCTCCTGGGGGCACAGTCTGGCTTCCACCACCGTCCAGTCAGTCACGCCAAGCACAGGCCCCTTGA